TGACATTTTTCTATATAAAAGATGAAGTATATTCCATGGCCTTTTGCGCTTTGGAAAGTTAAGAGCATCTGCCAAAAAAAAGGAAAAAACAAAAAGGACCAAGCGCCGCTGAAATCAAAATCAAACTAGCTGACAGATAGGTGAAAGTGAGAGAAAAGCTGGGTGGGTGGATGACTGGATCTGGATGTGCTTGCTTCCTCACTTTGGGTATATAGAAAGCGCACACGTGCACCGCAGTCGCAGTCAGCAGTCCACATCCGTGGCCGCAAAGTTCAGCCGGGTGACTATGAAACGTGGGCCACACAGCGTACACAAGTTGCTGGTGGGTGTCTAGTCTGCTGCTGCGAGAGAGTGTGTGAGCAGGGAGGGGAACACATCGCCGCCCTGCTCGCCACACGTTCCTGCATTGCTTGGTCTCCTGCAACGACGATTCCACGGTCACGTCCTTGGGCAGATGGCTGCTAGCCAACCATACTTAACTACTACTACAGTAATGACCTACTACTATTAATTAATTAGTTTACAACTGCTGGATCGATCTGTGGCCTAGCTTACTGGTGCTCTGGATCAGGTGGGGAAAAAAGTTTTTTTTATATAATTACTCAAATATATATAAAAGCTTTAAAGCACAATACACTGGATTCAAAGTTCACATCATTTACATGGTCACAATTATCACTCTCTTCTTCCATTCTACTGAATTTTTCTTAAGATATATAGGAGTAAAATGCACCGGCGGACTCTAAAACTTGTGGATGGGTGTCTAAAAGTGCACATCCGCATACATGAACTAGCTAGGCTCACACTACGTTATAGGTCCAAACGTGTCCAGGCTAGATCCGTTTGCTGACATGGCAGTCCACGCTAGCACCATCGATGCCTAACCAGGCCCTAAACTTGGCAAAGTCTGCCATATTTAGGTCATCCCTAAACTTTAAAATGCATATTCGCATACATAAACGAGGCCCATGCTACCGTCGCAGGTCCAAATAGGTATAGGCTAGACACTTTTACTGATATAGCTCACTGTAGGGGGCACTCTTCGGCCTTACCCACAACAAGAGCAATTGTGCCGCCATCAGGTGTGGTTAGCATCGTGCAGCCGCTCCTCATGGTCCTTGTCGGAAAGAAAGTTTGGCAAGGTCTCCCTCGGCAACAGGAGCTCACTGTGCGACAAGGATTCTGGTGCTGGTGACCTCTAGGAGGACACCTTAATCCTTGACCATCGACACACCCCTAATTTGAGCCTGCCGATCTCGGCTTCCATGTTGATGTCGCCCCTGGGTGCCATGGCCATCGTGTGGCACTGCGACGCAAAAGGAAGGTACAGAGATGGCGTAGGAGCATGCAATGCTGGCTATGCATTGGCATGGTGGAAGATGGTGCGAGGTCAGCCAGTCATGTGGGCGTAGGTGATGGACGACGCGGTCATGAAGTCGAGGAAGAGACGATGAGGGAAGTGGAAGGCGTTGAAGGTAATCACGGATGACTGCAATGCACGCATGAGGCGTGGCAATGGTGCTATCTGGTCTTGCTGGTGCTAGCGTGGACCACCATGTCATCAACCAGGTTAACTGGGACATGTGATGTAGCATGAGCCTAGTTCATGTACGTGGATGTGCATTTTAAGAGTTTAGGGACATAAATGACACCTTCTGCCAAGTTTATTATTAGGGGTCGGTTTTGGCATCAATGGTGCCAGCGCTGACCGCCATATCAGCAAATAGGTCTGGTCCGAACTCATTTGGACCTGTGACGTATCATGTGTCTAATTTGGGGCATGTTCATGGATGTGTATTTTATTAGGAGGTTAGGGACTAAATGACATCCTCTGCCGAGTTTAGGAACTACCGGTGTATTTTATATAAAAAAAACAAATAAAGAAAACAAAAGCATATCCGAAAGGTCACATCAGGGATTCACGGCCGGGCGCGGAGACAAAAAAGGAGCCGGGCGGGCGAATTATTGGACGACGGGAGAAGATAAATAAAGGCCGGCCAGGAAAGGGTCGTGGCGACGTAACGTACGTAGCCGTCGCCGACCTGACGATGCATGTCGGCAGCCACTTGAGGTGTCAGCGTCGATGCGGACGACGATGGAGCTTGCACTTGCAGTGGCAGGCAAGTCCATGCTTGGAAGATAGAGCTGCCTTGCAGTACTGTCCAAATTTGCAGTTAGGTACTTAGGTACTGGCGATGGTGGTAAAACACAACGACGTGTGATCTGGTTAGGCTTGTCTAGTCAGCGGAGGTTTTGTGTGCTGTTCATTATTCAGAATAGCTAGATTCCCCTGGGTTTTAGTATTTCGTTTTCTTGTATTCATTCACACCCAACATAATCATATTCCCTTTTTTTTTTTTTTTTGAGAATCCCCTTTCTTTCTCTTCCTGTGGGTATCTTGGAAGGATCTCTCTCTTTTTGTTTCAAAATAAAAAGGCCGGCCTTGCTTGTGAGTTGGGCTGCTCGCTAGTTAAGGAGGCCTATCGTGCTGCGCCTCTTCTGGGCCAGTCGCGTCACTAGAGCTGTCTGGGCCTCGATCCAACTACGGCTGGACCTCAAATTTTCTTATTTAATTTCATCTGTTTATATTCTTTTTTTTTAATTTAGCAGAAATATACGCTGCCGATTAGCCAATATGGCTTCCTGTCATGATCGTCTCCTACTCATACGGCGATCCGTATAAATTTCAGTTCGAGTGGCAGATTTATATATCCTTCCGTGATCAATGCGTCGCAAGAAAGACCATAACTTTTTCGCATGTGCTTGGATGAAGATAAAGTTTTTTTTAAAAAAAAAACGGTGAGACTGACATGTCTATAGTAGTCCACACACTTTTTTTTATATATAATATAAAGCCATCTGTGTGCTGAAATAGTTTACTACATATGTACAAATTAAATCTGATGTATATAAATTAACATAGTAAATCATAAAGTAAGGAGTTACTGTAATCTCGTAAATTAACATAGTAATTATCGTAACTCAAAAAGTGGCTACAGAATAAGTTATTTTGTAGCCAGCTTCTCACACTAGTAATGGGAGCATTTTTACTGTAGGGGCGGCTGGGGTTGGGGGCACCCCTACAGTGGTTGTCCCTACAGATAGCACTGTAGGGGCGGCTGGTAACCTGAGCTGCCCCTACGGTTGGGGCTGATCTGTAGGGGCGGCTCAATCACCAGCCGCCCCTCAGTGCCCATTGGTCTTTTTTCGAATTTTAAAATTTGAAAGATTCAAATTTAGTCAAATGATAAGATAATCAAAATAAAAGCTGTAGATTTTGATGAGTTGAACAACTTTTGTATTCATCACTTTTACATCTGAAATCATTTAGGGTTTGAAAATTTGGTTTGAACTTGTCAAATTTCAAATTTTAAAATACGTAAAACATTGTCACATCCAAGTTTGATCAAACTTAAATGCTGAAGCATGATTTTAGAAATTTTTAGAAAAAAAAATCCATCACATTTGGAGTTAGTATGAGGGAGAACAACTAGTTACAAAGTTTACCCACAGATTAAAAAGCGAAATCACACTGTTTTAAATGATCCTTACATGATCCTAGTGAACTGTGTGATTTTTTTTTAATCTGTTGATCAACTTTGTAACTAGTTTTTCTTCCTCATACTAATTCCAAATCTGATGATTTTTTCCTAAAATTTTCTAAAATCATTCTCTATCAATTTATTTTGTTGGTTTTGTCAATATATACATATGAAAAGTTTGAGTAATTTAAATTTTGAATTTCAAAAAAATGCAACTTCAGACAAGATTTTGGTACCCCAAATGATTTTAGCTGAAAAAGTGATAAATACTAAAGTTGAATACCTCATCAAGGTCTACAACTTTTGTATTGGTCATTTCTTCATATGACAAAGTGGTAATGACATTGTTCACAAATGTGATATATTTGTCATAAGGTTTTATAAACTATATGACACATGTGTAAGATTAGTGACTAATGTGTGCTAAGAATTTGTCAAATGAATAAATGAACAAAATAAAAGTTGCAGATATTCATGAGTTGAACAACTTTGGTATTCATCACTTTTTATATTGAAATCAATTTGGGTCTCAAATTTTGGTTCGAACTTGTCGTTTTTCAAAATATCAAATTTGAAAGGTTCAAATTTTGTCAAATGACAAGGTGACTAAAATAAAAGTTGTAGATATTAATGAGTTGAACAACTTCAGTACTCATCATTTTTTATGTTGAAATCATTTTGAGTCTCAAATTTTGGTTCGAACTTGTCATTTTTTAAAATTTCAAATTTGAAAGGTTAAAATTTTGTCAAATGACAAGATGACCAAAATAAAAGTTGTAGATCTTCATGACCTCTACAACTTTGATGTTTATTAAATTTTCATTTGAGATCATTTGGTGTCTCAAAATTATTTTAGTAGTTTTGATTTTAATTTTTTAAAATTTAATTTTTTTCTTATTTTTAAAGGTTCAATTTTGTAATTTTAAACTGTTGTAGTTGTTTTAGTTATTGTATATGTAAATATATGTATAAAAAAATAATTATAAAACGCGTGTGTAGTTGCAGTTGGGACGCGTCTGTGACAGGAATCGCTTGCCTACAGTGCGCATCACAGGTGCAATCTGACGGACCCAAAAATTTTATTCATTTCAGCGGAGCACCGAACGTCTTCGCGTCCGATCCCGTCCGCAATCTCCCGAGCCCCCGACTCCGATCCAGACTCCCGTGTCTCTGCCTGCCTCCTCTCCCTTCCCCTCCACAACTCGTCCCCTCGGAAGAAGACAGCGCCTCCCTCCTCCAGACCGGCCAGCGGTGCCTCCCTCCTCCCAGATGCAGATGGCGGCGTCTCCCTCCTCCCAGATGCAGCTGGCGTCGCCTCCCTCCACCTAGATCCAGCAGGCGCACCTCCCTCCTCTAGCCGGCGTTGACTCCCTCCTCCAGATTTGCGACAACCACCGCCACGGAGGAGCAGCAGCGACACCAGCAAGCGGACAACGCCACCAAGGTCACAGCTCCTCCATGGCGCTCCTCGTTCTCATGGTCATGGGTAACCCTAGCCCCGTCACTTTGCCCCCGTCTTCTGTAGTCCTGCATCCTGCCATGCCTGCAATGCCCCTAACCCTAGCCACGCCCTCGTTTTGCAGGGACGAGATCCAGGGAATCATTCAAGAGCGCTCTCACATGCATCTAGCTACTACTTTTGTTAGGTTTGTTTTTTCTACCTTTTGATCTATGATGTCCAAGTTATTGGATCTGGATGCATCTTTGTAGTATGTAAGGAAATGTATGTACATGATATAGGTGTTCGATCTGATATTTGATTATGTACTTGCGTTTGAATCTCAGTTTGTGCATGGAGAGAATTTTAATGATCATAAATGTAGGTTGCCTTCTGAATAGCAGCTATTATCCTGTTACCATGGCACCACCGTCTCAGGTTCATTCCGTGCTTTGGTCTGCTGCTTATCCTGTTAATTCTGCTTGGCATATTTGGGGGGTACTTCCTTTGCATATAGTACATAGCAGTTCCACAGTCCAATTATGGAAAAGATTTTTGAGGAAAAAGATGAATAGTTACTGCTTTTGATAGGAAAAAAAATACATTAATCTAGAACTAGTACAAGCCCAGCCAGTTATTACTCACGAGTATAGTTATTTGGCAATGCAGAGACAATCCAGAACAATCCAACTAGGCTATCCAATCTGTGAAACAATCGAAAAAAGGCTAGCTGCTTCTCTAGTTTGAATAAATTCTTGGACAAATGAAATGCAGTACTATCCAGAAAGTGAGTGCAGTACTATCCAACCAGGGACAGCTAGCAACTTGCATTTTCTCCATTGTCGTACTTGCTGTTTGTCTTTTATATATTATCATTTGCTCCCAAGCTAGTTTGTTTATTTGCTTATCTTTTCTATGACAGATACCAATGAATATCTTCATCCTGAGCACAGGGGCTGGTGGGTTGGCATCAACCTTACTTCTGCTGATACCTGTATCCTCTATGATAGTGATCTGGAACTTGTATTCAGGTTAGGCTCTTAGACTGGTCTTGTGTTGTGTTTTGCAGGTACAACAGTATCAGTAACAGCTCTGGCTCCATTTTTAGGTAAGTAGCATAGCAGACTAGCAGTTCACATCATGTCTTCTGGTCAGTATTACCAAATTAGTTTTCTGAGTGTATTGCTTGCATTACTAGCACTTGGGCACTGTCATAAGGTGTTGCCCTGAGGTATTATCAAATCCATAGATCCATGATGTGTAAAATCATTTTCACGAGTTATTTTCCTATGGTTTTCACAATTTTCTGCATGGATTAGTACAAATGTTCAAGTTCTTATTAGCTTGTGTGAATTTTGTAGTGACTTAACATCTCTATTTGAGTTGACAGAAAGATTCATGTGTAAGTAGGCTTAGTTCACTTTCAAAGCAAAGAGTGTGCCTCTCTATTTTTCTAACTGTTATCTGCTCTGCAGGCTTCAATTAGAACAATACATGAAATCAGGGCAGGTTGTGGCTATGAAATCAGGTATCATCCATACACTAGACACTGCAATAATACCCAGGCTTGATGCTTAGGCTTGTTTAATCTATCTGCATCCATATAAAATTGAAAATTCAATTGATCTTGGTTTCTCCAACACAGTAAAGATTGCCCTTCCAACTTGAGTTGCATCGGGACTCACTAACTACATTCCTTGTAGGATCTTTGGATATGATGCTTCTAGTTCGCTCGATTGGCGACAAAAAAAGACAACATGAACCCGGAGCGAGTTTGTAGTGAATTGCATACTATGTGCTTGTTGTGCAAAGGGCCTGTTATTGATTGAAATCCACTATAAGGGCGGTTCTTGATTGAACCGCCTTTATAAAACTCTACACAGGGCGGTGGTGATGATCTGCTTCTACAGAAAATCTACTACAGGCGGTGATATTACAGCCACCGCCTGACAGAGGGCACTGCAGGGTGGTCAGAAACCACCTCTCAGAGGCACCTCTGTAGGGAGCACCTGGGAAGGGCGGTGGCGAGCTGTCCCTATAGAGGCTCTAGAGCCGCCCCTACAGATTAACCACGTAGTAGTGAACTATATATATATATATAACTATATATATATATATATATATATATATATATATATATATATATATATATATATATATATATATATATATATATATATATATATATATGAGTCATTTGGAAGAAGGAAGGCTCACTGAGGGCGAAGCAAAGCAAAAGCTTGGTCATGCATTTTGTAAACTATCGCCGATATACAGTAGTAGTATGTTGCGTTGCATGCAGCATTGCGGCTGCAGGACCAGCTAGCTGTGCAACAACCTGTTGCTCGTCGGGTGGCATCTCGTTTCGGACGGCCACGGGGTACCCTACCTTAGGTGCAAAACTGAGGCTCAATTTGAATAAAAGTATTTTGGAATTTCAGTAAAATACTATGGCATTTGAAATAAGTACTTCTGTCTTTAATGTGCCGAAAAGTGTTTATGCAACGGACTTACCTTCGATTTCGTATGGCCAACTTGGACCCTACTTCACTTTTTCAAATGGGTACAAATAGAGGATGTTTCACAACTATTTAAAGATAGAGAGGAGGGGGTGTAGGTTTCCTAGTTTCAACCAAATAGCTTATAACTTTTCTATACTCCCTCCGTCCTCAAATAAACCAATTCCTAGAATCCATGCTAGTCAAACTATCTTAAGTTTAACTAACATTATTATTATAAAGGGCAACAACATTTATGACATAAAATGAGCATATTATGAAAATATATTTTATAATATATTAAATTATACTAATTTGATGTCATAAATCTTGATAGTTTTTTTTAAAATTTGGTCAATGTTTAAAATTTTTGACTTAAGACAACTCTAAGAATCTATTATTCAGGACAGAGAGGAGTAACACATAAGCGATAGCAGCTTTCCACATCTCCTAGCTTACAACAAATTTTCCACAACTCACGGTAAACCAAATAGACCTTTAAAGTTGTAGGTCTTTGAGATGGTAACAACATGCATACATCGATGATCCATGTTTATTTTCTTCACTCCAAAATTGTGTCAAATAAGTAAAATCTGTTCAATACTTTGATGGAGTGGACTTAGGTTTGTCCTTCTCCACTTGCATTTATGACACTCAAAATGGAAGGAAAGTATGTCGGGTTCATAAACCCGGGGCCCCTTATGACCGGCTTTCCAACAAAGGCTCGGCCAGACATGAGACAACGCGCGCAACTCGTGGGCTGGCCTAGGTATCTAAATGATGAGGGCGAATGGTGATCCAATCACCGACCGGAAGGTCTGGCCGAGGAGGCGGCGTCCGATTTTTTCGACTCAAGCCCACCTCTCCGCCAAGCGCTTTGCCGGGTCTCCGGCTCAGCGTCCCGGACGGCTTCTCCGACCGGAAGGCTGGTCAAAGCACTACTTCCAACTCCGACCAGCGTCTCCGAACCGGAGATGAGCCAAACACACGCCACCGCTCTTCTCCGATTAGGCGCGATCGAGCCAGATGGGACCAACCGACCGGGGACGTCCGCTCGGTAAGGACCGAGGAACGAACGAGACAACAAGGCGGGGCACACAAGTCAAACCGCAATACCTAGGACCATACCACCATGCACCGCCATGCATTACTCGCAACCCTCCGCACGATAGAACCAAAGCGTGATTGTAGGCACCGGCATTTTTTCCCTCTGATATTGAGGGTGACATTAATTCTCATACTGTAAGGCTCCCCGTATGTCTCTCGGGCATCGGCAGTATGTGTGGGGGGTGACATTTCTTGTGTACCGGTCGAACATGGTAAAACCCTTGCGTACCTCTAGGTATCAACAATATGGCGGCGTAGCAACGCCTCGCATATACCCAAGAAGACAACACAACCTCCCATGCATCATCCACATTCAACAGTGTTGTGGGCGCCTACCATCATCCCTGCACCCGTTGGCGTGGGCAACAAGGCTTAGCAGCATACGTACCCTCTTCCTCTCACTTGTAAAGCCATCCCCTTTATCTATAAAAGGGGATGCGCTCTCTTTCAACAGATAAGTTGATTCTGATTCATTCAGATCGATCAAGTTCACTAGTTCACAACCACAGAACCGCCAGGTTCGAACCACAAGCACACGCTTGAATACTTAGCTAGCGGGGCTCTCGTCACTCTCGGCTTTTTTCAGACCCAGAGTCCGATGGGACCTCTTGTGCCCCCATCTTTCTCCTTCTCGTTTGTAACCTCACTGCAAACTTCGAGCACCTAGGCTCAGGAATAAAGTCACCGACCGACTCGAAGTGGACGTAGGGCACGTTGATTGAACCAGTATAAACCCTGTGTCATTGAGTGCTAGGCCACCTCTGATCACAACAAACGGCAAAACTACAAATATTTACTTGTTGGTCACTTTCTACACAGACAGTTGGCGTCGTCCGTGGGGAAGACACTGTACGTTCAACACTTTTTGGTCATCGGATGGCCCACTTTTACGCCACCATCGCCATGGCGGGCTCAGCGTCACGATTCGCTTTGGCTCTTTGGAGTTTCCCGCACTCCCACCTATTGGGATGTGGGTTCCACCCGTCTCCGAGCCTCACCGACCACGAAGTTGCGATCGTCACTTCATACCCGCTCGGAGACATTATGCGCAACCGTGTGATCATGCATGGGGACGAATCTCCAAGTGGGCACTCGAACTCATGGGCCATGACATCGTGTATATCCCGTAGCACCATTAAGTCTCAAGCTCTCGCGGATTTTGTTGCCGAATGGACGTAGGTCCAGCTACCAACCCAGATGTCACCCAGCAGTCTTTGGACAATGTACTTCGACGGGTCCATCATGACCTTTGGATCGGGAAATTTGGAGTGGTTCGATCTCCCTAGGCGGGAGTAGGCTCTCGCTTCGCCATCCGCCTCCACTTTTGACCTCAAACAATGCCGCGGAGTACGAGGCCCTCATCAACGGACTACGCATCGCCATCGAACTTGGTGCTACACGACTCTATGTTCGTGGCGACTTAGAGCTAGTCGTCGATCAGGTCATGAAGGAGTCCTCCTGCAAAAGCCCCCTCATGGCGGCATACTGCCAAGAGGTACGTAAGCTCGAGGACAAATTCTAGGTAATCGAGCTGCATCACGTCCCCCGAAAGGACAACGATGCCGCCGATTTTCTCGCAAAATTGGCCGCCAGGCGGGATCCATCCCCAAGCGGGGTCTTCATCAACGATCTCCATGAGCCGTCTGCCCACGTCTTGGAAGGTCCGATCTAGACGCACCCCGACACCAAGCCGACGCCCGGGGGCTCCGACTCCGATGCCAAGCTGGCGCTTGGGGGCTCCGACCCCAGTGCCTCTATGACGACGCCACCCGCTCACGTTGCCGTATTGGCACTCGATCAAACCGACTAGCGAGCACCACTGCTCGCCTACCTCCTCGAGGAGGTTCTTCCGCCCGAAAGGACTAAAGCTCGATGGATTGCTCGATGCGCTAAGACCTTCGTCGCGCTCGGTGACGAACTCTACAAACGGAGCCCATCGGGGGTGCTCATGAAGTGCATCCCCACCAACCAGGGGAAGCAGCTCCTCCTCGAGGTCCATGCCAGGATCTGCGAACTTTGTTACCTTGTACCTTGATACCTATGGGGTATTGCATTGGGTAGTGTGATGCTAGCGCTCAATTAAAGACCAAGATATTGTAACTTGACTAATGGTATATGCAATAAACACTAAAAGATGCTTTTTAGCAACATGGAACAAGGGGGCTAGAGCATTGGGCTATTTTTATGGTGCTCTAGATTCCTCTCCATAAGGACTTATCTGTAAGTGATCATCTGGGACTTATAGTACAGCTGTGAGGGCTATATGGCTTTGGCTTTAGCTCAGTATGAGGACCTTTTCTAGCTTATTAGAGGTTACCTTTAGTGGCGTAAGAATGGCTTGATGAATCGGGTATAGAACAACCTCTACTCTTATGTGTATAGTTGTGATGAAATTGTGCCATTCGATGACAAAGGGGTTCTTATATCTATTTGCCGAGTGAATCTAGCAGCCCTAACTTATTAGGCGAACCTTTGAAAGGCTTCATAGTGAACCCCGCCGACCTTTCTTGGTAGTGGGTCAAAAATTTGATCACCTCGGGCGAAATGGTGAATCGGGACTCACGGTGAAAGTGTACAACCTCTGCAGAGTGTAAAACTGGTATATCAGTCGTGCTCACAGTCACGAGCGGCCTTGGAACATTCACGGAATAGATGATGAACACTGATGATATTGATGATAAAGATGCTCACTAATGATTATTGTTTATGCTATTTATTATTCATGTTTACCTCATCATGTGTTTATATGGGCTTGTGAATAAACTTGTTGATACCCAATTGCTAAAAGATGACTCATTAAACACTAATTGCAGTTAATCAGTGTCAGCCTTTTGAGCCTCATGAACCCCATGTTATATTTATCGAGTACGACATGTACTTGCGCTTGCTTTATTTTTCACATATTTGGATAAAAATCCCAGATGGATACAGATTGCTAGAGTTTGGAGGAATTAGGCTTGTGATCACCCAGTC